AACTCATTTTTGTGGAGGAAATGCAATGACCATAAAGACACCACCATTAACCCTAAATTACGAGATGACCACTATCCGGCTAAAACATACTTTTAGCCTTTTTCCGCTATTTGCCTTAATAAATTCGTAGATTTTAACTTTTCATTTTATACAATGACATTTTTAACATTTTATCTTAATAAGTTTATAAGTTTTAACTCATTATCTATACCAATAAAAGAAAATAACTCTTATTTAAGATTAAGTTATAACATTTTATTTGTTTTGTTAACTAACTGTTAATTTTGTTAATTGACTGTTAGCGTTCTGTTAACATTTTGTTAACAGAACTAATAAATAAAATTGAATTGAATTTTCAAATTTTTTATAATGAAATACTAACAGATGCTAACAGTCAGCTAATAGAACTATCAATCAATTAGCAAAACTAACAAAATGTTATAACTTATGTTAAGTAAGAATTATTTTCTTCAATTCGTATAAGTAAATAGTTAAAAATATCATAATATAAGATAAAAAATTAAAACCTATAAATTTATTAAAATAACAAACTAAAAGTAAGTTTTTGTCTCGTTTTTCAGTCTAATCATTTAATTTTCTATTTATATACATTTTTATGTACTTTTACATATAAAGTTAAAAAAATTAATTATTAAATAATATAAAATTTTATTTTTAAATTAATATTTTTCAATAAAAATAATATTTAATATGAAACAATTCTATTTAATAGTTTTAATCGTAAAATTTCACTATTCTTTTGATTATGCTGTAAAAAAAAAAAAGGAAAAAACGGTCTCATAATCTCTCTAAAAAATTAGATTTTGGTTAAGAAATAGGACTAATAACTAAATAAATAACACTTGAACTTTCGGGTCAAGTGGTATTCGGGTTACTTTGAAAGTGCAATCCTCTTTCTTTTTGTAGATTCAAAGTTCGAATCCCACCTTTGTCACTTTGATAAAAAAAAAAAAAAACTAAATAAATAGTACGAGAAGCAATGACTTTCCAATCATTCACCCAACCAAAAAAAAAGAAATCTTTCCAATCATGATGCTAAAGACAAGCACTCCAACCGTGAGCAGTGCTCAATTTGCAACAGTTTCAGCCC